GTTTCAGTGTGCAGATACCTTTTTCTTTTTTGTCGTTTCTGCTCTCCCCAGCAGAACAGCTTGATGTTTAAGAACTCCATTCGCATTGAACGAGATCACCTCTCTGATGCCACCTTCTTCTGTTGGGATCCAGCTTATTCTCAAGCTGAATGAGCTCAGAGGCTGCAAACACAAAACACGGAGAGAAATTAGGAATTGTTATGCATTGCAATCCCACAACAAAAATAATAGTGCTTCCGATAAAAATTTAGGTTCAAAAGTATATGTTCCAAGCTGGTGGCTTGTATATTGATAAAGTAAAACAGTTACCTGGATCGTAAAGATGTTCTGGTCCACAGAAAAACCTTTATTTGACGGGATCTTTTCGATTGCAACCTCCGCTTCTACATCCTCAATCGGGTTCTCAATTTGCAAAACAGCGGATTTCGTGGTGCCCAACTTTACAGTGCCGAAAGACACAAAAGGTGGCTTTGAAAACTGAATGAGACTCAAAACTGGAACGTCGTTCTCCTTATTAGCATCCATTTTCTTCCCCGGACTGATATCCAGAAGTCCCCGTTGTGCTAAAGTTACCGCTTCAGCCATTTTTTTAAGACAATAAAAACGCGATTCGAAACAAACTACATGTTACGGAATTCTAATCAACGTTTTGTGCAAAGCAAATTCAGTTTGTACGTGTTCGGGTCTGAGACACGCCAGCTAACAAACGTTAAAGCACGGCATTATTTCAAATTCTGTCGAAAGGAAAATCAGCCAATGGCAAGCGAGCTGCTTTTGCGCCATGCCCAATGAGGAGAGAGAATACAAGGACGCACTGTTGAGAACCAATCAGTGTCCGAATACATGTTTAAACAATCATAGTCCACGCCTACATTCAGAAATTAACAGTAAAAGATGAGGGGCCACTTGTATTATTTTTTCAACTCAACGCAAACGACTCATTTACTGTTTGTTTTAAATACACATTATCCAAGACAAATGCAGTTGTAAGAATTAGTACATGGGTTTAAATGCATACATTTTTCTGACGAGCACAGTGATTTTATAAAAAAAAACTATCTATCTTACCTGGTAATCCCAAATTTTAAAATACGTGTTACATGCTATTTTTCACAATCTTTGTCCTAATTCGAAACCTGTCATTGCACAAGCCAATTTAGTCGTTTAAAATCGAATTAAATAAGTGTCACTTCAACTTTATCTCTATCTAAATTGCTACAAATTATTCCGTTGAATAAAGGGAAGTATTTCTCGTTGGACAAGCGCACACTCATCTGGCTAAATAGCTCGCCGTGATCGTATAGTGGTTAGTACTCTGCGTTGTGGCCGCAGCAACCCCGGTTCGAATCCGGGTCACGGCAAGAAACGCTGGTCGTTTTTTGTGCTGAGATACGATTTAAAACATGTTTGAAGGAAGGTAATCATTGTATTTACAATGAAACTTTGCCTTCTGCTTGACCATTTGCTTCTGCCAATCTCCCTAAGTAAGTATGAATACAGTGTACACACACTAAATGAATATATTATTATGAAGGACAGGAACTATTGCAAAAATATTGACTTAAACTTGTCAATATTTTGTGACACCACTATAATAAAAATATGAAAAGTTACATACGATTGTAATAAATACAATTAATTGCAACTAAATGCTTTCAAAGGTGACCCCATGAGTAAATATCTCTGCATATGATATTTACTCATCTCATTTTACTGGATATTTGCTGGAGGACTCCAGCAAGCAAACAACACAATGAAGACCAAAGAAAAGAAAAGCAGGTTGTCAGTATTTTAAAAGCAGAATGTTTGATTGAATTGAAATTATTATTGTTTTGCAAATTTTTTTTTCATGTGAATTGGTGATATATAAAGTAACATAAAGCTTAGAACATATGAAATACTAACACTAACAAAATAAATATATATCAAGAAAAATAACATAGCAGTTAGAAGGGAATATTTAGTAGTATATTACCTAGTATTTGTTATTTGGTTGGTAATTGGAGCTGGTGTGACTGCTGTTTGCTAGATAATAAAATAATTAATACCACCAAACGTTATAATTTTAAAGTGCACCATATTTAAAACAGTCTTTAAACAAGGTTTTTATATACAAGATAAATGTGGAGATAAGTAAAGTACTACAAAATAAAATCCAACTCATTATATTTAATTATTGTCAATAAATGCCTATTGTTACAATGAAAAGCAGGCATAATTGTCTATTAATCACCTGTTTTGTGAAACTTCTGCTAATTGGAAGAAGTTTTTGCGGATTATTTTATGGATAGTCTCCTTTTTGCCCCGTTTCCAGCTTCCGGAAGCGAATGCGTGTCACGTGATTCGAGGGCTGTCCAATCAGCTGCCAGAAGCGGACGGCTCGTAATTTTGAACAGACGGGGAGCAGCCAGCGATGAGTGCTGCAGCTAATTAGCTAGTAGCAAAACATCGACATATTTCTCCAAAAGATGGACGTTACGCTGTTTCTCTACTCTGGATAAGGTGGAAACAACTCCGTGTTGTTATTATTAAACATGGACACTCATATTATCACTCCTGGACCCTATCGAGCTACAAAATTGGTGAGTTTTTGTTGTTTATAGAGCAGAATGAGACCTCGCTAACTATTTTATTAACGGAAAAGTTTTGGGTGTTTTCGTTTCAAATATGGAGTAACAGTTGCGTACACCTCTAAACTAATATTAATAAAAACTGAAGCTTGTAAAACGACGCTTGTTTCTTTTACTTTTACTCAAAAACATTCAGTGACTTTAAAACCAGCGCTTCTCAGCAGCTATTCCGGAGTATTATTAAATACTTCAGCAGTTAGCTTATTAAATGCTTATCATGCTTGGTTAACTTTGTACATTTTAATTTACTTAAGTTTCAAACTTTCTTGATTAATACATGCAAGGATGTTTCATAATACAATGTTTAAATGCATTTAAAGTAAAGAAAAAATGGTTTTTTATTGTTTCAAAGTGGGAACATTCAGGTACGTTAGCAGCAAAGTAATACTGTGCAACTATATTCAATTTTAATGTATTTGATTAGGACAGTGCGTATTAATCAACATTACCACAATTCATGGCGTTGTAAATATGCAGGAATTACACAATAGCTAAATTTTATTCCGTGTCCTAAGACAACTAAGCAGGAAAAAAAACACCTCACTATGCAATCCACAGGACAGTACTCATAGTTCTATTAAATACATTTTAAAAATCAATAATAAAAAAAACAGGAAATAACCAACAGACAATAATAGTTACTGTTTTTCTTCACATTTCTCAGGTGCACAGTGTTTATTCAACATTTTTGATTGTGCCTGTGGATCAAAATAACTATAATACTTATTGTGTTTGACTATTTTTCCATCAGTAGAAATAATTGTTGCTATTCTGGTTTCTGTCTTTTTAAAGATTGGTAATTGGCGATCGGCCAGAAAACTGCAATCGGTGCATTTATCTGCCTGTGTTTTTCTTCCAGTGGAATGAGGTGACGCGCTTGTTTCGGGCCGGCATGCCCGTCAGGAAGCACCGGCAGAACTTCAGGCACCATGCTTCCTGCTTCACGGCTGCTGCCGCCGTGGACTGGCTGCACCAGCTGCTTCAGAGCAACAGCAACTTCGGCCCCGAAGTCACTAGGCAGCAAACCGTTCAGCTGCTCAAAAAGTTTCTGAAGAACCACGTGATCGAAGACGTGAAGGGCCGCTGGGGAACGGAGGACCTGGAGGACAACCACATGCTCTTCAGGTGACTTTATTGTCATACTTTAAAAACATATGTGACCTAAACTGGGATTTAATCAAAGTTACGTTGTTCATGTGTGATTTTTCCAGATTCCCGTCTACTTCTCCTCTGAAACCAATCCCATGTCCAGCTCCGGCGCCAGGATCCAGGTCCATAAAGAAGCGGCCGTCGCTCCGGGACCGGGAAGGTTTCTTCAGACTGAGGAACCTCAAGAACCAGGAGAAAGACTCCATGGTTAGGATGAACCAGATGTTTATATAAACTGAATAAAAACACACACGTTTTTATTCTCACCCTCTGAAGTCAAATCAGACCAAACTTTTCTTGTTTTACGTCAGTTAGAATCACTAAAATTAATTCTGTTTGTTAAATGCCAAAAACTTTGGCAAGAATTTTTTTTTTATTTAAAAGTTGACATACTTTCGGTCAGTATCAGGGATAACTGTGTTTTAAAATGAATAACTCCAGGTCGGACCTTTTGGGTTTGGTTCCACAAACATCTCACAATAGTTTGCTGAAGTTCTGACCCGTTCTTCCTGACAGAACCGGTCCATTTGGTAGTCCGCCTCGCTCGCCTTCACATGTATTTTCAGATCTTCCCACAGACTAAGATCAAATAAGCTGCTGTATTTACATTTGTCCTAATGCTAAAACTTTCTTTCAAAGAAGGTGTCTTTTGTTTTTTCTAAGTTAAGTTAATTTATTTTTGTATTTTAAATTTCCGCAATTATATGGTCAATGGAATAAATTGCCCCAGAAGTTATTGCGATTAATGGTAATATTGTTTATCGCAATAACCTTTTGAAATATCTAACATAAATAAACAAAACAACAAATAAAATGAATTATAAAGTCTCTGTAAACAAAACTTGTCCTTCAAACTAACAAAAGCACCAGAATGAAGCTTTTTGTCCTCTAGTTTTGGTAGAAAACAGTCAGACAGCCCGAGCAGCATAACTACAGAGATATAAGTACTTTGTTCCAACTTGTTTTTAGGAGAATGTAGATCCTGCGCTCCAAACGCCGCGAGACGAATCAAATCCGTCGGCAGAAGAGCAGCAGCACCAGAGACGAAAGCTGACGCTGGAGGATGAGCAGGAAATCTGGAGAGACGTCACCCTGACTCAGTAAAAACACAAACACTGAACAGCCAGACTCACAAACGTAATGTTGCATCAGAGCGCAGAAATCCAAATTATCATGAGATGGAAACGTTTGTTGTGTTTCTCCAGCCTACAGAGGATTTTGGGCGTCTCCTCTCTGGATGAGGTTTTGGACCAGCGGCACGTAAACCCTCAGAACATCATCCACAACATGACCAACGTCAACAAACACGGAGTCGTCACGCTGGAGGACAAGAGCAGTGAGTGATGGACCGCACCCTGTTAATTATTCACACATCTAGACTCAAAGAAACAGAAACAATTAACAAATTATTAAATAATCATCAACTAATTTAGTAAACAATTAATCATTGTCCGGAGTATACAGATTAAAAAAAGACCTTTGCTGAGAGAACAGTCCACTCAGAGCAGTAATTAAACCAAAACGGCATTATAAATATAATACAGTTTATTTCTGTCATAAATGTTGCATTTATGATTAAAAAAACTTTTGTCTGTAAATATGTTCTACTCTGAGCTTCTCAAGTTGTAGTTTCAGTTTTACCTGGTTCAAAAACTGCTGAAAAAAATAATAAAAATTCTCTTATTAAGGAAACAGAGCAGTAATGAATTCTTGGTCAGTCTAACCTGTTTTTCTTTCCAGATGATCTTCCTCATTGGGTTTTGTCTGCCATGAAGAGCCTGGCGAACTGTAAGCACAACAGATTATTACTCAGAAAACACTTCACACTGCATCATAATAATCCCAGTTTTCAGGCAACGTGGGTTTAGGAAACTGTTTACTGTAGAAGTACAGCAATGCATTATGGGTACAGAGGGCGAAAAGCTGCTCGCTAACGATGATTGGCATTGGTTTTAGCTGACAAGTTTGAACGTAACACGCTAAGTATTAAATGTATTAAAAGGAGGCAGTGCTTTGCTAATCATGGTCAACACTACAACAACTAGATAACACGGTCAGGAAACAGTTTTAATAAAGTGAAAAAATAACGAGGGAGGGGGAAGTAGGTCAGTTATGCTAGCTTAATTTTGACAACAGTAACATGTTGATGTCGCGTAGCCGACACAGAGGGCGAGAAAAAAGAAGAATGAGTGGTTTTGAGTTGCTCTTCAATGGTTTTTATGCTTTATTTGTTCCTTTTGCTGTGGAGCATAGCCTTAAATTAACAACTACAAATCCAGGTTTTATTTAGTTGAAGGAATTGTTCTACCGCGACAGCACGGCTATGGCTAGCGCAAGCCCTCCAGCGTGGTGCGCATGTGCAAAGTTTCCGGACGTAAACAATAACACGCAAGGTGTTCACGTTGTTGTATTTTTCCGGGACATATTTCCAAACAAAGATAGTAATTTCTAATCTTTACAGTGCAGGTGCAACAAACCTAAACCAGCCGGTGACGATGTTCTGTTCATCCGCAGGGCCGAAGTACGACAGCGACCAGCCGTCCTACCCCGGCTTCGAAAGAGACGTCTTCAAAACGGTGTCTGATTACTTCTACAGCCTCCCTCAGCCGCTGCTCACATACGAACTGTACGAACTGTTCATCAACGTTCTGGGTAGGCAACGTTTTTCATCCTGACCCGCTCAGCTGCTGGGGAATCCCACCGACCAGTCCTGTTGATGTGACTCTAACAGTGTCTCTGACTGCTAACACAGGTCTTGGTTGTTGTTGTTTTTTCTGTGTTGTTGCCTGTAGCTGCGTTTCCATTAACCAGAGAATTGCACCAATTGAAATCACGAAAATTAAATTACTTAATATAAACACGCAGTTGATGTTTTTTGATGTAAAAAGTTGTAGCGCTAGGATGCAGGTTTTTTTTTTTTTTGGTCTGACTAGTCACAGATGTCACTTCTGCCAGAAACTCCAAATTAGATGACAGGAAGAAGTATGAACATGATGATGATTTTTTTTCTTTTTGTGGACAATCTGCAGCTCACTGCATCCACAGTTTATAAAAAGTTGAGTGTTATTCCAATGTGTTGAATTCATACACTGCAAAAAACAATATCTTTCCAAGTACGTTTGGTCTAGTTTCTAGTGCAGATGTCCGGGGAAAGTACTGTAGATACACTCACTTATAACAAGATATTTTCCCCAGGTTCTAAGTGAAATAATCTGCCATCAGTAGATTTTTATCAATATTAAAGAATTATTTACTTAAATAATAAACCTTGCGAGTGGAAATGATTCAGTCCTCTTTAATTTATTGTGTGATTAATTGATTTATTGCTTATAGCGACAGACTTACGTGTGATTTTAAGTAACTTTGATTTAATGGAAACACTGTAATCTCAAAATAGATTTTTTTTACAGTAATGGAATATCAACAAAGATTTGCATAAATTTATAATGGAAATGCAGCTACTGGTGTAAAAGTGTGAATTAACTGCATCCTTTCACTTCCCTTTCACTCTCCGCTTGTGCTGACCTCTGACCTTTCACCCCGTTCCTGTGCTGCTTGCCTCTCTGCCTGCGCCCCTGTTTGCATCTGCTTTCAGTGTTGTGTGGATATGTCGCAGCGCCCCCTACGCTCCAGCGTGGGAAGCGAAAGAGTTCGGAGCTGCCGTCGGTTGTGCCGGCCAAGTCGTCGTTTCGCTCCACGGAGTGCCTCCTCCTGTCGCTGCTCAGGCAGGGCTCGTGCGATGAGGCCGAGTCGCCCATGAGGGCCGTCCTCAGCGGGACGCTCCAGTCACGCAAGGAATCGGGTGCCGGTGGTGCCAGCGGCACGAATCTGAAAACGGTTAAGCTTCGCACAAGAAGCTGCTCCCTGGAAACCATCCTGGATTGTTCTCCTCTGCGCGGCCTGCAGCCGTTTCCATGCAGCAACGAAAATCCCGTTTTCCCACCTCAGGACGGGCACTTGAACACAACGTTTACGACCAAAGCGGACAGTTTCGTTCGTGAAAATGCAGCAGGAGTTGTAACAAGGAGCTCTGCGGGTTCCAGAGTTAGACAGTTAGACGGTCAGGCGTCGGCGCGGCCTCACAGCAGCTGCCTGGACATCGTCATGAAAACCAAAGAAGAAGAACATAGAGGGACGAAGTGGTCCAGCTGCCTCAACGTGAACCAGTATCCTCCGTCTTCCTCCCAACAGCTTCTCTCTCTCCCAGCCAAAGCTCAAGGTAGGGCTGGGCATTTATCGCATTGTTCGTCAACCATCCTGATAAAACTAATCAAAATACACATTTTTAAAATTTATTATTGTCATGACGAGGCCTGTCACAATAAATAATTTTCCTGGATGATAAATTCTGCTAAATGTTATTGTAATAAACAATAATATTGTTGTTTTGAGAACATGTTTAAGTAACATAACAGCATAAATACGTTCTCAGAAATCAATCAATGTTGAATCCTAATGAATATTTAATGCTGAAACAGAGACTCTTTAAATATTCAAAATAATCAAAACAACAAATAAAATCAATTATGAAGTCTCTCTAAACAAAACTGTTCTTTTTAAAAAAGGGACTAGTGAGACCAAAACACCAAACTGAAAACTTTTATCATGCAATTTTTGTAGAATGAAAGAGAGAAACAATAAATCATGCTAATGGAAATTATTGATCTCGTTTTAATTTATCGTGTCTTTAATTGGCTTATTGTTTATTACGAGAGGTCTAGTCATGATAATTTCCAGTTAATGACGATTAACTGGAACTTTCTGTGTTGTTAGTTTTATCATTTTCCCTCCATTGATTTTTCATTGAGAGCATTAATAAAAATCAATACATTTGAAAATATGATGAAATGCAGTTACTGATTAGTGACACAGAATCACACGAATCAGTTACCTAAAACAGATTTAATAAATCATTCCTGCCGTTATCTCAGTAGCATCGTGATAAAAGTTATCGCCCGCCCCTAGCTCACGGCCCCGCCTCCAGTACCTCTAACCTTTGGGCGCTCCCGGCGCCCGCTGCCCGCCGCTGCCTCAGCTCGCTGGACGTGTCCAAGCCGCCGCCGCCGCATCGGTCTGCGTCGCAGCTCAATCTGCCCGTCTGCGTGGCTGCCAGACACTTCCAGCTCCCCCAACCCAAACCTGAGCACAGTAAGACCGCCTCCCGCCTGCATGTGTGTGTCGACGCCAGATCCAACCTCTACTAATGTCTTCCAAACAACTTTTTCCTTAAATGAATTCAAAAGCAGCCGCTAACGTGTCTGTCTAAATGCAGTGTGGATCGTTTTGTGCTGCTTCTGTTTTATCTGCATGTTTTGAACGGCTAGTGCCTCTTAACTTCACCTAACAGTCTTGTCAACTTTATTTGTGCAGAAAATGTCAGCAACAAGGCAGTTTGACCTTTTTACATCCTAAAAACATGATTCAGTTACCAATTATATATGTGACCATCAAACATGTTGGTCAACGTTCCAGTTATTTTGGTTCAAAAGCAACTCTGCTATAAAAACACCAAACCTTACCAGGTGTTTTTTGTTTAGTTTCTTTTTCTTAGTTTTGTCTCATTTCAAGCTTTCTAACTTACAAGGTAAGATCATTTTATTTATGTTGCACATTTTCAGCAACAACTCAAAGTGCTTTACATAAACTAAAGGAAATACAAAATGACAAACTAAAGAGCAAAATAAAAAATCTAATGTTGATCCATACAAATGGCTTTTCATCAATATATGAGCTTGTTTAAAGTCAACATTTTTTAAATATTTATTTAAAAAGGTTCTAGTTCCATCGGGAGATTATTTCCATAATAAAATGGTAAAAACTCAAAGTGTTTTTCTTATTTTGGGCCTGGATAAAATCCATTCTTTGCCATTTTTGCTTCTTGAATCTTATCCTGCTCACTGCATCATAGTTGTAGTTTATTAATACCACCCATCTATTCATTTGTCTAATATAAATGCAGTGAATAGATGTGATTCATATTTTAGCCCAGTTTTGCCTCCATGTCGTCTCTGATTGTGATTTTCTTCTTGCAGGCGTTCTCCAGCCGCAGTGCGAGCGCGTCGCTATCGAGGCGCTGCAGCTCTGCACGCTGCTCCTCCCACCGGCGTCCCGCAGGAAGCTGCAGCTCCTCATGAGGATGGCGTCCCGCATCAGCCAGAACGTGGACATGCCGCGCCTCCACCCGGCCATCGGCACCCGGACGCTGGTGAGCGGCGAACGGACGACGCGTTTCCAAACGCCGCAAACGTTCAATTCTTTTGTTGAGGTTTTATGTCACGGAGCAACAAGAAGCAGCGCATGTTTGATAACTGAATAAAGATTATGATTGTTTTATTTTCACAATTTCACAAAAAAAAAAAGTTTTTATGTTCACTTGGCTTTTGTGAAAAAGAATTAATGTGGAGAAAGTTAAATGAACTAGTTTGCAGAATAAGTTTACGCTGTTTCCTGTGTTAGAAGTGAACTAATCTGCCAGTGGAACTAGAACTAGGTTGCTAGGTAACAGCCTGGGGTTGCTAGGTAACGGCCTGGGGTTGCTAGGTAACAGCGCAGAAATAAGTGAAATAATCTCCCAGTGGAACAGGAATTATTGCCTTAGAAGAAGCTGCTATATCTTGTTGGAAAAACTACTTATGAAATAATTTGGACTTATTTGAAGTGAACTGAGACACTTGATGTATAAACGAGATCAAACTAGTTGGTGAAGTTTTACTTTGCGTTTCCAGATGGTCCACACGTTTTCCGGCTGCGTCCTGAGCAGCGCGGAGGACTGCGACCTGGACGAGCTGCTGGCGACCCGCCTCGTCTCGTTCCTGATGGACCACCAGCAGAGCGTCCTCTCCGTCCCAGAATACCTGCACAGCGCCATCAGGGACCACATCCACTACCTGCGCACTGTACAGGTACGACGTTACCATGGAGACGGAGAAGTCCCTGACGATGCCTCAGTTTATATTTAGTGTTTTCTAGGTCTGAAAAGTGCTTGATATTTTAACTTCACAGTTTTGTAATAAAATGCCATCCAACATTTGATTAAAAGCCTAAATTTGGAAAAATGTTTTTTACAGTTGAAGCCAGATATTTTCATCCACACAATTGTTAAGTTGTAAGTAGCATACTGCGCATGTGTGAGATGTAAGGAGTGGGAGGCGGGGCTAGA